GAAGAAGGCAATTAGGATGCCTTAAAGAGGGAGGACAGATGATAAATTTCCTCCACTGAGGAAAATTAAGGAAGACTCTGACTAGACATGACTTAGAGCTGCTCTTAAGGCCTACTTTGTGGCGATAAAAGCAGAGAAACAGCATTATTTCTTTGTCCTTATTGTGCCCACAGAGTGTCGCCCGGTGACTGTGTTCCAGATCACCTGGTCCCTCCTGGGACAGAAAGGCTTGGTGATCATCTACAGAGCCACGCAGAGGAATTTGTTCAACTCCTGATGGAGAAAGGAACTTGGATTCATTCCTGGTTAGATCCCCTGTGTGGAACAAGTCCATGTGAGATGCCTGGGGAGACTCGGTCTTCCCCATTATCTGGGTACGGTTTGACAATGTTGGATCTGAGGAAGTGGACAGAGTCTTTGACGCTGTCAGATCTACTACCTGTCAGTTTGATCCTTGTCCCTCCTGGATGGTGAAAGCAGGTGTGTTCAGGCAGTAATTGATTAATCCCTGCAGGAGAGGACTTTTTCAGGGCCTTTTAAGGAGGCCCCGGTTTGCCCCCCCTTAAGAAACCATCATTTGATTCCACCTGCCTGGACAACTTTTGTCTTGTTTCCCATCTTCCCTTGTTAGGGAAGGTGTTCGAAAAGGTGGTTGCTTGGCAGCTTCAGAGAGTCCTGGATGAAACTGATTATCTGGACCCCTTCTGGTCAGGATTTAGGCCCGGTTATGGGACAAGACAACATTTAGTCAAACCCCGTTTGGAAAACTGTGTCCAGTTTTCGAGGCCTCACTTAAAAGAGATATTGATAAGATTGAGCGAGTCCAGAGATGGGCAACAAAAAGGGTGCAAGCTCTGAGAGACAGTCTGGTTTCAGGCCCAGTTATGGGACAGAAACGCCCTTGGTTACACTTGTGGATAATCTCTGGCTAGAGAGGAATGGGATAGTGCATCCGTCCTTGCTCTCCTTGACCTCTCAGCTTCTTTCGGTACCATTGACCATGTATCCTTCTGGACCAACCGTGGGATTTGTGACTGGGCGACACATGCTGAGCTGGTTCGGTTTCTTCCTCCAAGGCTAGTTCTAATCAGCGTTGATAGGGGCTGAGAGGTCCGGCCCACGGCTGCACCTCTGTGACACCGCAGGGCTCCGGAGTCTCTCTCTCTGCTCCTGTTTAACAGGATGAGGTACCATCAGCTCAGCTTCATTTCTTCATCCTGAGTGACCCAAGTAATGCTGTGACTGCCCTTTCATGATGCCTGGAAGCTGAGGGGGGGGGGGTCTGGACAGGAACCACAGGTTTCAGCTGAATCTTGATAAATTGGAGGAGCTGTGGGTATGTGGGGCCTTCAGATCTTTTATCATCTTTAGTTCTGGATAGGGTTGCACTGCCCAAGACAGACTCTGTGCATAATTTGGGGGTTATCCTAGACTTGCAATTCCTGGTCAAAGAACAGGTGGCAGTTGTGGCTCAGAGAGTCTTTGCACAGCTTCATATTGTGTGTCAGTTGTGCCCTTTTCTGGATCTTGTGCTCAGTCACTCATTCCTTGATCATCTCTTGTCTGGATTATTGCTATGTGCTCTACATTCTGGAGGCCCCACCTGTGGCTCCTGTAACACCTCTGTTAAGTGAGCTGCACTGGTTGCTGATCTGCTTCCAGGTCCTGTTCAAAGGTGTTGGTTATCATCTTTAAAATCCTTTATGGGTTCGGGATACCTGAGGAAGTGTTCTGCCCAAGTGGCACTGGCCCACCCATTTTGTTCTGGCAGAAAAGGCCTGCTGTGGACCCTGATGGTCCAGGAATTTCAGCTTTTCTGCTGCTGACACCCCTCTTTTGGAGCATCTTGATCCTTCCCCCCCTCCTTTTAGGCCTTCCAGAAGGGCCTTCAAACCTGACTCTGAGGCTGGCCTGGGGCCCCCAATGGAGCCACTCTGGGTTGGAGGGGGTTGGTGCAATGACAGGGAAGGCACCACCCCTGCTCTGCTTGAGCCTGTGTTTTTTGTTAATCTGTACTTAATCCTGTGTAATTTTTATATTTCTATTTTATTACACCGTAAGCTGCCCAGAGTCACTTTGGACAGCGAGTTGGGCAGCATAGTAATTTAATCAATAAATATTTGTATGTGTCAAGTCCCCGTATGTGAAGAGGTGGTGTGGCTTTGTGCTTTAAAGCCCCATTGAGGTCCTGCTGCTGGCAAAGTGGGGAGCAGAGGAGTTTCGGCAAGCTACCCCCCTTCACCTGGGCAAGCCAAGAAGGCTTCGGAGGCAGAACAGGGAAGGTCTGGAAGGAGGCTGAGAAATGACTGAATTCTGGTTTGTTCTGGCCAGCCATCCAAAGCCTTCCTCGCCAGGGAGAGCAGAAGGAGGGCTGCTGGCAGATGTGTTTCCTTCAGTTGGGGTGAACTACTGTGGTATGGGGTAATAGATCTGTATCTTTGGGGTGTCTACAGACTTGTAAATCTTAGTGAGGAGAATATATTAAATTGGGAGCCTCTGAAAATGGAGAAGCTTTTGCTGGGGGAGAAGCAAAAGGAGAGAAGAAAGATGACAACTGATTGGTTAGGGCTGAGAAAAGTAAGCTGATAGAGAGATATTTGGGGTGTGTGTGTGTTTTTGGCCTTTTGATACCCGTGTATTCATTAGTTTTATTAGTTGTATTCATGGGGAGGAAAAAGCTGCCCAATTTCACTTATTTTAGGGGCTAGCTGTTGTCTTCTTTCAAACCCCCCCTCCCCATTGTATTTTGGTGTTCCTTTTCTCCATCCAAAACATGACTTTGAAAGGAGATCTTTGCCTGGATTCTGCTTCTACTAGATTACTGGGTATTCATTGCTTTGCAGCCATTTTTTTGCCCCACAATTGCCCAGAAGGCGGGGAAAGAGAGATGCACGAAGCAGCCTTTGTGTGTCTGGCACATGTGGATTTGCACTAGTTAAAATTAGGCCGTTATGCAAGGCCCGTACTGAGATGAGCCTGGAGCACGGAAAAAGCAGGCCTGGCACCCCTCTTCTGGTGCCTTCAAAGCACCGCCATTATGCCTTCCTCATGTGCCAAATATTTGTGCTCCGTGGTTGCTGGAAAAGCAGCAGGCAAGGCCTCCTGGGGTGGTGTTCTTAAAACTGCCCGGTGGAAGGGTCAGCAGTCTCCTGTGGTGGACTACGGCCGTTGTTCTCAAGATCCAGATATTGCAAAATTGCCTGGTTCCTGGATGACGCTCCGTAGCAGGGGGAGGCTAAAATCTTGTGAAATGTTTGCCATTTTCTCTTTTTTGTGGAGTTCAGTGGATGCCTTCCAGAGATACTGTAGGTGGGTGCCCACGGAGATCCTGTTGTGAAATACAGGCTATGTGGTCATCTGGATTCAAAGGGAAAACAGTCATCGGAAGCACCCACGTTGCATCTGGCAGGACCTCCTGAAGTCCAAATTGCTTTTTCCCTTTTCCCTGTTTGCAAGCTTCTTATTGGAATATTTTGGCATCCTGTCTCCATCCTGATTTTATTTTAACTGGTTGTATCTTACTTCAAATTAAGGGCACTGAAGCTTGAGCAGGGGGCTGGACTGGATGACCTCCAAGGTCCATTCCAACATGGCCTTTAGGGGCTTCTTATGGGGAAGGGATTTCTTTTCAGGACCTTTGTTGGGTTGGGGTGGGAGAAGTTCCTCTTCTCTGCCTTGTCTGTTCCCCACCCGGGGCCCCTTCATCCCCCCCCCAGGCATTCCAGGGGCTGCTGCCTGCACTGCTAATTAGGTTGGGTTCTGAGGAGAGCAGAGGAGGCCAGACCCTCCGCCCCCACCCCTGAATCTGCACAATGGGAAGAAAGGGGGCAGGAAGGCAGCCAGGCCCTGTGCTGGAGCTGCCCTCCCCCCCAGTCCTTCTTGCCTGCTTTAAGAGAGAGCTTGTTAACCGGAGGGAGAGACACAAAAGGACCTGCTCTTTTGGCATGCCCTCCCAGGGACTGTCCTAATCCTTGGGGGGGGGGAGAGAAAGACAGGGGGTTTGTGAGTGTGTGTCTTCCCGCACCATGAGTGCCCTGACAGCAGCAGGACAAGCAGAGTCTCCATAGTGGGAGGGGTCACCTTTCTCTTGGGAGATCTTGCCCCCCCCTGGCCTTCAGAAAGAGCTAAAGAACAAATGGGGTGCCCATTCTGGAGGTGGCTTCTGGATGAGGAAAGAGCCACCTCTTTCCCCCCCCCTCTACTTTGTGTTCCCTCTCCTCCTCCTCCCCCTCCTCCCCTTTGAACAGCATTTATTACTGTTGTTATTTTTTGCTTTATTATTTAATGTGTAGTAGTTTTATTGTTTGTAAGCTGCTTAGAGTCGTCTCTGGACAAGATGGACAGCACATCAATGTAATAAAATAAATAAATTCATTCATAGTTTCATTCCATACAGTGTTAACCCTGTGAACTCTAAAGCTTTCTCTTTCTCTTATGTATTCAAGATGGTCAGTGATTAATATTTATGTATTATTTATATGTAAGGATGAACGTTTATACATATGTTGTATATAGCATGTTTAAGTGTGTGTTATGCATGTGTACACTTTTGAAAACAAGCAACTAAATTTCATTTTTAATATGGGCCATTGTGCCCACAGTAAAAAATGACAATAAAGGTCTGTCTGTCTGTGTCTGTCTGGGCAGGACTGGTCCAACCTGCAGAACTGGCAGCCCCCTGGGCAGAGGGGGGGGGGGCGCGTGGCGAGGAGGAGGAGGGGGAAGGGTAACTATAAATGGAGCTCCTCTCCCACTTTCTGCCTCTTTGACCACTTCAGGGTCTTAAAGAGGGAATGGCCACCATGTTGGGCCACTCTGGATGAGAGCAAGGCTTCGTGGGGCAGCCTTCCCCAGATGGAGTCATGGCAGCCCTGGGGAGGGGGCAGGCCCTCTGGGCAGCCAGGCAAGGCCCACCCTTCACCTGGCCTCTTGTGCCGCTTGGCACAGTTGCCCCTCCTCGCTTCCCACAGCCCTGACCCCTTTTTCTTCTCTCCTTCTAGCCACCTCCAACGGGTCCCTCGAGGGCTTGGAGAACAGAGAAGGCGGCGTCTGTGAAACTCGCTCCATGAAGATCATCATGAAAGTGGGACAGGGTGAGTGGTGCAGGTGCCCCGGATGCCTTCCAGGGCCAGTGTGGGTCCTCTGAGACCCCTGGAGCGAAAATGGGGAGACCTATAGAATGATTTGGACTTAAGCTTTGTGTCATGCTAGAAAATGGCATTTGGGGGCCCTGAATGACTTTGGTCCTTCCCAGAATGCCCAGGGACCTGGAAAGATTCAGTACAAGCCAACTGTGAAACTCCTTCGCGTTTTAGATGTTTTTGGCCCAGATTACCATCCGTAGCTGTCCTTTCCCCAAACCACTCCTTCCAAATGGGCAGAGGCTCATCTTCGTTTCAGTCCTTGTCCCAAATAGAGGAGCACCTGTTTGAGAAGAGGGATTGGCTGCAGTTTTTCTTTGCATGGTGCAAAATCAAGAAATTTTTTTCCCTCTTGCGAATTTAAATTGCCTTGATTCAGGAAGCTAAATAAAAACTCAAAAGGCAGCAGAGAACAATTGTAAAATACAAAGCACTGGAAAGCGAGAAGGGAATAGGAGGAGGGGGGAATCTTGGAAATGCCCTTCAGTGCCATCATGTAAGGCAAGAGAGATGTTCTAGCTGGGAAGCCTCTGCAAGAGCAGAAGAAAGTCGGGGTGCAGAGCCTCAGTGGAAAAAGCTGCTCCTCAAGAACTGGTTCCAACATTGGAGCCTCAAAAGTAGCTTTGATTTCACTTTCAAGTTTCATATAGCTAGCTTATGGCAAAAAAAATATTAACCATGTAGAGGAAGCTTAATAAAACTCTGTGCATCATTAGAAGGAGGGGAAAGGAGTAAACCCATTTAAAAGCCTCAGAATAAAAGACTGCCCCTGCACCCGCTTCACTCCGCATGAAAAGAGATGCCCGAGAAAATCCTCTGAAGAAGACTTTTTCCCTGCTGGTGTTAATGTCCAGGAGGCCCTTTTGCATGGCCTTCAGAAGTGACGTGGGCAAAAAAAATAATGGTGTAGAGACTAGGAATATAATTTGTATTATTAAGCAAAACAAAAAGTAACCCAGATATCAAGCACTAATGAAATGTAACAATAGAAAACTAATTAAAAGAAGAAGAAGAAGTAATGTGGGCAGAAAGAGGCAGAATTCAGGGCTGAGGTTTCAGCAAGAAAGTCAGTACAGTCAAAAGCAGCATAAGGACGTGGACAGGATCCTGGGGGGACTGAATGCAACCACATGTTTATTGGACCCGTGTCCCTCCTGGCTGGTACTGGCGGCTCGGGAGGGGACACGAGCCTGGCTCCAGGGAATTATAAACGCTTCTTTGCGGGAGGGTGCCTTCCCCGCAGCCCTAAAGGAGGCGGTGGTGAGGCCCCTCCTTAAGAAGCCCTCCCT